AACCTAAAGATCATACCATTACTGGTACCAAATGGATCTTTCGAAACAAGCTTGATGAATCCGGTACAATTATAAGAAACAAGCAAGACTTGTTGCACAAGGATGCACTCAAGAAGAATGTATTGATTTCAATGAAACCTTTGCTCCGGTTGCTAGATTAGAAGCCATTCATATCCATTCGTATGTTACTTGCATTTGCATGTTTTAGAGCTTTCAAACTTTTTCAAATAGACGTAAAAAGTGCCTTTCTAAATAGTTTTATAAATGAGAAAGTTTATGTTAAACAACTCACTGGTTTTGAAGATCATGCCTTTTCAATCATGTTTTTAAACTATCAAAAGTTTTGTATGATTTGAAACAAGTACCTCGTGCATTGTATGAACGATTAAGTAAATTTTTGATTGAAAATAATTTTTCTAGAGGAACGATTGACACAACACTTTTTGTTAAAATTAAAAATGATGATTTACTTATTGTGCAAATATATGTGGATGATATTATATTTGATGCTACTAATGAAACGTTGTGTAAGGAATTTGTTAAGTGTATGCAAGGTGAGTTTAAGATGAGCATGATGGGGGAGTTAAATTATTTTTTTGGGCTTCAAATCAAACAATGTAAGAAAGGAATTTTTATCAACCAAGCTAAGTACATAAAAAAACTACTCAAAAAGTTTGGTATGTATAACTCAAAAATAGTTGGAACACCTATGAGAACATCCATTAAGCTAGACAATGATGAAAAGGTAAGTCCATTGATCAAACAAAATATCGAGGTATGATCGGCTCACTTCTTTATTTAACTGCAAGTAGACCCGATATTATGTTTAGTGTTTGTATGTGTGCTAAATATCAATCAAATCCTAAGGAATCACATCTCAGTGCTGTTAATAGAATTTTTAGATATCTTGTTGGCACTCAAAATTTGGGACTATTTTATCCTAGAGGTGTTGCATTTGATTTAATTAGTTACTCGGATGCCGACTTTACCGGGTACAAACTTGATAGAAAAAACACCAGTGGCACTTGTCACTTTCTTGGTTACTCATTAGTATCTTGGTTTAGCAAAAAGTAAAATTCTGTTGCATTATCAACGGCCGAAGCTGAATATATAGCTTCCGGAAGTTGTTGCGCCTAAATACTTTGGATGAAACAACAATTGGAGGACTTCGAATTGCATTATGATCATATCCCTATTAAATGTGATAATACAAGTGCCATAAATTTAAGCAAAAATCCGGTTCAACACTCACGAACAAAACATATTGAAATTCGACATCATTTTTTAAGAGATCATGTTCAAAAAGGGGATATTGTACTTGAATTTGTAAACACCTACAAGCAAATAGCGAATATTTTCACAAAACTCCTAAGCGAGGATCACTTCAATTTTATTCGTGACGAGTTTGGAATATCGATTTCTACTTAAAAAGTTTTGTTATAATTATGAAACTTGAATTTTTGTTAAAATGATATATGTGTATTGCTATATTGATATGGAAACATTTATATCAGTTGAATGCTCTCAAGTCCTTCATACATTTATTCTCCATAACAGTTTGCTATTCTCAACTGTGTAATTTTTTTTTGGGTTCTGCATCTTGAGGTAAAATTAACTTTGCATACATTGATTTTTTTTAAACCCTCATTGTATTTTTTTTCATTACCATTTCAGCAACACCAATGTCCCATTAAGTTTAATTTCTGCTGGTATTATTTTATTTTAATTTAATTTAATTTTTTATTTTGCTATTAGGCTTAATTTCTTTTATTTTTATTTTTTTTCTCATTATTATTTTTTGTTTGGGCTTAATTTTCTTATTTTTTTCTGCTTTTTAATTTCATTTTTCAGTCCTTAAACATAAAAACAAAAACAAATCAAAATACAAATATTTTTGCATAAAAAAAAGCACCATTAATTTTTTTTTACGACCATATGTCGATCTTACTTACTCGCGTCTTCCATCGTTTTCTTCTTCTTTTTATCACCTTGGGCGACCCTTGACACCCATGCCCCGTGCTTTTGTCAAGAGCGATGCCTCTTCATTGATTATCAAAGGCCAAGAACGACGTTACTCCAAATCGGGCCATGGAGGTGGTCTTCCGTTTAAGATCTTTATTTTCGACCTTCAATGCGCCAATCTCTGCTTGAGCATCCTTGTACATGCGCTGGAGCAGCGAGAGTTGGGCGTTGACCTGGTGGAGCTCACTCGTCTTGTTCTGCAGTCGGTGAGCCAATTTTGTGACTGCAGTCACCGTCTCCATACAGGACGTCAGTGTGAAATGATCGGCTTCAATATCTGATTGCGCTGTCATTATTTGCTCAATCGACATCATAGGAATGTTGGGAAGAGTAGGGGCCAGGGCACTCGGCCTAGCAGCGCTTACGGGATCATTCAGGTCCAAAAAGAGAGTGTTCTATCTCTCTCAAGTAGAAGAAGAAAGAGATGGAAGCGAATGAGAAAGAAGAAGGAGAAGAGAGTAATTATAAAGAAGATGGAGGAGAAGAAGACAAGAGGGAGAGAGAGCCAAGGCAGTTGATTGACTTGTCTCGCTTTTGTCGGTCTGCTGACGCAACGCAAAAGCGAGGACACGTGTCCGGCGTGATTTTCGACGGAATAGAGAGAGAGGTGCGCGAATCGTATATATATGTATATATATGTTTTGAATTGTATAGATGCCATTTATCACTATCATTTTCCTCCTCCTCCAAATTCTGACCCATGATTTCCTTTTGATAATGTCACAGAGGGAGAAATTATATGATGTTATGTATTATGGTATTATTTTGTTATGATGTTATGTATTATGATATTATTTGTAAACTAATCTGATAATTATGTATTTATAGTTTGATATCTTGATCTCATATCATGTCTCTAATTAAAACTTATTTATTACACATGTGCTAACCTATATATTTAGAAATGAATTCAGGGAGCATGACTTGAGGGGGAGCTTTTCTTACTCCAAAATCAAATCAAAACATCATTGTGTACCATCATCAAAAAGAGAGAGATTGTTAGACTTATTTATTTTGATAATTTATTTAATTATGTTTTTAATTTATTTGGAAAAGAAAAATAGAATCAAAATTTATTTTGATGATTTATTTGAAAGAAAAAAATAGAATCAACATTTATTTTAATGATTTATTTAATTATGTTTTTAATTTATTTGAAAGAGAAAAATAGAATCAAAATTTATTTTGATAATTTATTTAAAAGAGAAAAATAGAATCAACATTTATTTTGATGATTTTATGTTTTAATTTATTTGAAAGAGAAAAATAGAATCAAAATTTATTTTGTCTCATTATTTCTCACCTAAACTTTTATCCTAAATATTGTTTGAATGTATTTAATATTTGATTAAATCAGAGGTTCAAACAGCCGAAAATAAAGATTCAAACAGCCCAGTACAGCAGTAGGCCAAAAGGTTCAAGTGAAAGATATTCAAATTAGTAATGATGGATTCGAAGATATTCAAATGAATACAACGGCCATAAACGGCTGTAAATTCAAATGAATACAGCGACTATAAATGGCTATAAATTCAAATGAATACAACGGCTATAAACGGCTACAAGTTTCATTATATATGCCAAAGCCTCTAATGTAAATAAATTACAAAAAAAATCAGAAAATATTCTTTGATCTATAATCACTCACATCTATTCTCTGAAAAATTCTCTGTGAAGTGTTCTTCAATTTTTGTTTATATCCTTTTTTAGAAATTATACACTAAGATGTATAGCTTTAAGCTCATCTTTCCTGTGTGAGGTTTACAGAAAAATCAGAGTTTCATTTTTATATCTATCTTTGAGAGATAATTCTTGTAGCTTTCTGTGAAAGCAAAAACACATTCTTTTCAACCTTGTAAGAGTGTAGTACACTCAATATTCTTAACTTAGAAAGCCTGTGTAAAATCTATGGAGAATTGCTCCATCTGTGAAAAGGTTGCTAGCACCCTGTGAAGCTAGAGTATAGTAGAAAATCTCAAGTAAAGCTTAAAAAGTGGACGTAGGCCGAGTTGAACTCGAACCACTATAAATTTGTGTGTCTCTCTCTCCCTTATCTCTTTATTTTATTTAAATTGCCATCGCTATATTTCACATTTTCACTGTGCTAAAATCATTAACTGACATAATTATTAGAACACTTGTTTTAATTATTTTTATTTCATTAACTATATTTATTTATTGTGCTAGTTATAATTTTTATTAGGGTATTATTATTTTTATTTGTAAAAACTTAATTCACCCCTCCTCTTAAGTTGCCTTTTGGGTAACAGATTCTTTACTCAATCTTATAAAAAAAAGGGGGTTGGCCAGAATTCTTGCATATTATAAAGAGGTCAATGGCTTAAACTTTTATACTTAAATTTAAGTCTTATTTTTTGTATATTTATTTAGGATTTTTTTTTTCCACTTTAACATTTTATTTGTATTAATTATGCATTATATTTTATTTTCACTGCATTGAAGTTCATTGTACTATCATAAATTAATAAATGAAAAATAATATCGATTAAATCTTAACTCAGTACACTAGATGATTATGATTTGTAAGATCCTGAATGTAGAAGAAATGATAGTTACACATCATTCAAATACATATAATGTATAAAAAGTATAATATATAACTTATGTGGGTGATGATTAAAATAAACAAATTGAATTTGTACATTTTGTTTATGCAATACTATTGATGTAGAGTCATAAAACCATAAATGACAGTTACAGATCCACTGAACATAATCATATGAAAAAACATCAAAATTATGCCAGTTAGAGATGTTCAACACAACAACTCATAGTGCAACAAGATTTAAAACAAGTTGCACTAAACACATGGTGTGCAGGTCATGGTGCCAGAATTTAAGTCTGCCCAAACAACCATCCTGGCTCCATTGGAGGTAGCTAAGAAAAGCAATAAATGTAGTCTCATCTCATCTCATCACTCACAACCCAAAGTGTTATATAAGCCCATCTCTGCTCTGACATTCCTCATTGCAGAGTTGTTTGTACAAACTCCAAAGAGCTGTTCTATATATCCAGGGTTTGTCAACTCTTCTTCTTCATGGACAGCTCATTTTCTTTCAGCTCTTGCATGATTTTATGTTTGGTTCTTGTTCTGGGGAGTGCTCTTGCTCCTCAAGCTGAGGCTAGGGCTTTCTTTGTTTTTGGAGACTCGCTCGTTGATAGTGGCAACAATGACTACCTAGCCACCACAGCTCGAGCGGACAATCCGCCTTATGGGATTGACTATCCGACTCACCGCCCCACAGGCCGCTTCTCTAACGGCCTTAACATACCCGACATTCTTAGTTAAGTTTCGTATTAATAGTAGGGTTTGTTTATTTCTCCTTATCTGTCTTTGTATAGCAATATTCTTCTTCTTTTTGTGTGTGTGCGTGTGTGTTTTTATTTTTTTTTGATTTTGTGTATATTTGAGTTGAGTAACGTTATGACATTGGCATGTGATATTTAGGTGAACAAATAGGGTCAGAACCCACATTACCATATCTAAGTCCAGAGTTGACTGGAGATAGACTACTTATTGGTGCGAACTTTGCTTCTGCTGGAGTTGGAATTCTCAATGATACCGGATTTCAATTTGTAAGTAACTAACATTTAACAGTTATTTTACGTACACAAAATGTAATTACTAAATCGAATATATAACTTTTTTATATAGATGAAAGTCATACATTTTAATGAGTCCCACCATCTCATATTCTATGTTTCTTGCAAAATTGTTGGAAAAGTACCTTAGTATATATGAACACTTTCTAACTAAAACATTTCCATTAATGCAAAAGTTGGGAAACTTAACCCTTATTTTACATCACACGTGCATGCAGACAACGTGCCATACCTAATTTATTTATGTTTTAAAATTTATTATTCACACATAATCATTAGATCAGTGGCAATTTTGATATTAAAAACATGTCGATGAGTTTTTATTTTTTTAAAAATAATAAAATCACAAGTCTCTTGCATAATTTTGTACACATTATTTGTTGGGAAGGAAGAGTGCTATTGAGGTTGGTTAAACTCACTACATGTTTTGTTTTAATAATTTAAATTATTTATTTTATAAGAGAATGTATAGAGTATTCATAAAAAAAATTAAATTGATTCGATGTTTATAATCATATAGATTAATCATGTTTCTCTTCAAAAATTTAACAAGTATAATTTTGAAAACAGAATTTTATTAATTGATGAGTGAATGAATGAATGCAGCTGAACATAATAAGGATATTTAAGCAATTGGAGTTCTTTCAGCAGTACCAAACAAGGGTGAGTAGATTAATAGGGCCAGCAGAGACACAGACATTGGTAAGCCAAGGACTTGTTCTGATCACCCTCGGAGGCAACGACTTTGTAAACAACTACTACCTGGTCCCCTTCTCCGCTAGATCTCGCCAATTCTCTCTTCCCGATTACGTCCGTTATCTCATCTCCGAATACCGCAAAGTTCTCGTGGTAATTACTTCAATTATTTTTTCTTTATTCATTTCTTATCTTTACATTTTTTATTTATTTATTCACACAAACAAGTGACACGTGCCATTATTTTCGAGAAAGCAGAAGCAATAAAACATTCTCGTCAAGACAAAGGGGCAGCCCAAGTGAGAAGGGTCCTTTTTATTAGACCCAAGTCTCACCCCTTTTTACTAAAGTTAGAATATATAATTGTGTTTTAAATCGTATAACATTTAAAAAAAAAAAAAAAAAACTCTCTACCAATTTTGTAATAATTAATTTTTTATTTATTTAAAATGTTTTGTATTTGTGTTAGTGAAAAATAATATTTTATTATTAAAATATATAGGAATCGAGATACAACCAGATCAATGTGAGGCACAAACATTCTAATGCTTCCTCCACTTGTTAGGTTTGATCTCTTAACAAAAATTATAAGCAAATTTAATTTTTTTTAACTTGTGAATCATTTTCCATACTATATAGGGCTGTCAATGGATCGGATTTAATCCGAATCCGGCCCGATAATCTGAATCCGTTTACAAAAAATCCGATCCGATAATCCGACAATCCAAATCCGTTTAATCCGTTTATTAAACGGATTGAATTTGCAAAAATCCGATAATCCGATCCGATAATCCGATCCGATTATTCTCAATTTGAATAAAAAAACACAAAATGAAATTTTTTTTCAAATTATATAAAATTATAGCTCAATAAATAAATAAATGGATCGGATTCGGAATATCGAATTCGGATATCCGAAATCATCGGATTCGGATTCGGATATCTATAATCGGATATGAACTAAACGGATTCGGATCAGATTCGGGTTTATCTTAATCGGATCGGATTCGGATTTTGACGGATCCGATCCGAATCCGATCCATTTACAGGCCTACTATATATATATATATATATTTATGATAGAACACAAGTTCGGCATGCATGTATCTCTGGAGGAGGGTAGGGGCAATACTGATTGAGCCCATTGCAAAAGGCATGTTTGGTTGGTATCATGAGGAAAAACCATTCCACTGCTTTTTCACATGCCCATTAATAAGAGAGAATTCTTTCTCTCCACATCTATTAATCCATAAGTCATTTATTTATAATTTTTTTTTTATTATCTACAGCATGAGGTTAAAATGACAGATTGACAGTGATTCCTCTGTAATTTTTGTTTAATTTACTTCATTATGTAATCTAAATAGATTGTCAATCAGAAAGTTCAATTTATATTAAACATGATACATAATTCAATCCTATGGCATAATCTCTCAAACAAACAAAATCATAATGCTTACCTACTGCCGACACATTGACACATTGTCACAAGTGCATTAATATACACCCAATAATTCACATGTACAATCTTTGTTTTTCCCTCCAACATGGAAATGAAAACTAGAGTGATTCAAATTTCACAATTGCAGAGGCTATATGAATTGGGGGCTCGACGGGTCCTTGTGACGGGCACTGGACCGTTGGGATGCGTGCCAGCGGAATTGGCACAGCGGAGCAGGACGGGGGAGTGTGTGGTGGAGTTGCAGCGGGCGGCGGGGTTGTTCAACCCACAACTTATTCAGATGGTGAATGGACTCAACAGCCAAATTGGATCTACTGTCTTTATAGCTGCTAATGCACAACGAATGCACATGGATTTCATTTCCGATCCTCAAGCTTATGGTATGCCACCAATTTCCTATCACTTCATTTCTCAGTAGAATCTGATATAATTTTTTCATATGAGATGACACCCTGTTTGGTAGAACTGTGGGAAAGTGCTTATAGCTTATCCCTAAACAGTTTATAGCTTATAACCATGAACATAAGCTGATTTCTGACTTATTCTTAAAGCATCTCCTGCCCCACTCAAAGAATAAGCTGATTTCTGACTTCCAAAAAGTTATAAGCTATAAGCTATAAGTTAAACCAAACACATCAAAATAGCTTAAATTAAGCTGAAAGTTGAAATAAGCTGATTATAATTTCTGCCAAACAGTTTTATTGTGAGTCTAATATTTATGTGAGAGAATTGCTTGTGATTTTGCAATTAATTTTTGTGTAAATAAGCGGGCTCTTTTTTAATAAGCTTGTTACTATTGAGTTGATAATCTGAACGGTGCTATTTCGTTGCTCGAAATTTAGTGGCCCTAATGGCCCTAAATTTCCATATAAGGCAAAAAAAAAAAAAAACAAGGCAAAAAAAAAAAGAAAAAAAAAACAAACTTATCCAAAAAAGGAAATTAGGGCCATTAGGGCCACTGTTTTTAGGGCCACAATTTATTTTCCTAATCTGAAAACACCATTCTCATAACTTTGAAATAATTGAACCTTTTTTTTCCAATCAATTTAAATTATTTTTACCTCATAATCTAACAGCAATAGCTACATCACTAATGTCACACAAGGTATCAAATTTTTAAAAATAATTGCAATAAATTGTAACAAATAGGATCAACGTCTTAGATGGTGGACAAACACAATAATTTAAAGGAGAAACTACCATTAAGTGGTAACAGGAAAAATTTATTATAAAATTATGAAAAAGTTTAGGAGATTTACGTGTAAGTCTTAAAGATGGTTGTTTTGAAAAGTTAGTTAAAAGCTAATTTTTTTAGATTTTTTTGAAAAAATGAGTAAAAAAATAGAGAGATGATGTGACTTAAAATAGATTAAAAGTTAAAATTTGATTTTTAATCAAGTTTCCAAATTATTATAGTTAATGGCTTTTTTCATCAAATACGATTAAAAAAATGTCATTAATTGTTAATTTTTAGAGACAATTTAAAAATTTGTCAGAAAAAATGTCACTGATTATAAGTTTTAGCAACAGTTTAAAAAAATCGTTACAAAAAAGTTACTAATTTTTAACTTTCAACGATAGTTTGAAAAATTTATCATAGAAAAACGTTACTAATTATAAGTTTTAACGACAATTTATAAAAATTGTGAGAAAAAAGTCACTAATTGTCAATTTTTAGCGACATACAAAAAAATCGTTAAAAAAAATTATTTTTAGTAACGATTTTACTAAGATTTATTTTCAATAAGACTTGATAGGAATTAAATCAAACTAATAGGATATATTAGTAATTTATCTAAAAATTTATGATTTTGATTATTAATATTTATAAAATTTACAATTTTTTTTAATAATTATTTTTAAAAATATTAACTAAATTGTAATTTTTCCTAAATTAAAAGAGGATTGGAAGGCCCACCTCACCATAAACCCATCTTTTTATATTAGTATTTTTTACTTTTCTTACATGTAACAAAATCAAAACCAATTTAGTGATATTACTCTTCAAAAATATATCGATTTATTCTGAATACAATTCATATCATATTAAATTTAAAATTTTAATTTTTAATTTTCTTAAAATATATAACTTTTCGTAACCAATTTAATGAACTTGATGTGTAATAAGAGTAGGGTAAGTAAAAACACCAAGGATCCTCTAGAGTGTTTTTTTTTTAAAATTTTCTAAAATAGTGTATTGTGTGGTTGAGATTTAATGTTGAAAAATTGATGTGACTTATCATTAAATTTCAACTACATAATGCACTACTCTAGAAATTTTTTAAAAAAAAAACTCTAGAGGATCCTTGCTCAGGTAAGAATGGACCAAAAATTGATTGGAGGAATGGGCAAGGCAAGTGGGACTCACATGGACCACTTTCGCACGGGAAAATTTATTGAGGGAGTGGGAGTCAAGTGACCCTTTACTGTAGAACCAATCACCATCTACTGTGTTGTTCACAAGTTCATACTATCATTATTCATTTATTAGGGTTATGTTGCATTTTCTACTACTACGTAAAATTTAAAAAATACTTAAAATTTGAGAATGTATGAATTAAATTTATTTTAAGTGCCGTCTATATTTAAAATTTGACAATTTTTCTGATCCGTAGCATTTTATTAAAGTTTATTAAACCAATTTAGTAATACAACTATTAAGGGAAAGGGACCAAGGACTTAGGAGTTTGCTCCTCTTTAGGTCTCAGGTTCGAATCTTTCCCCCAGCTGGCTGCTGGCCGGCCACTACGTCTTTGCCTGGTCGATCGGCTTAGGCCCCCGAGATTAGTCGAGGTGCGATACTCCAAAGGGGTGTTGGCCCGAATACTCGGTTATCAAAAAAATGTGACTTTGGAGTTTACTCCCTAAAAACATAATATTTCAAAATAACAAAGTAATGCCATGAATATAACATGGCTCCAGTTAATGTTGAATGAACGAAAAGTATTCTTGCAGCCACCCAACAAACCAAACTGATAAAGGTTTGTTGTATGATATGCAATATATATATATATATATTTCTTTTCTAATAATTTTACATGAAGTTTTGGATTTCTACAGTAACTAGCATAAATTTTCAACTAATTCAATCTTTCAATTCATCTTCATATTTAGTACTAAATGCATGGTTTTATGGTTTGGGCCTGCAGGGTTTGTCACCTCAAAGATAGCATGTTGTGGGCAAGGACCATACAATGGGCTTGGGCTTTGCACACCTCTCTCCAACTTGTGCCCTAACAGAGACATCTATGCATTTTGGGATCCATTCCATCCATCTGAGAGGGCTAACAGGTTTGTTGTTCAACAGATCTTGACTGGCTCCACCAACTACATGTCCCCTATGAACCTCAGCACCATCCTTGCCTTGGACTCCACCACCTAAAATACCTAGTCTTTTTCTCGGGATTTTCTGCTCCAAATTTCTCAGTTCCCATGTCTCAAAATATTTGCATTGAATCATGTTTCAATATTCTCGCACCTTAGAATTCTCATATGACTCAATTGTTGTGAGTGTTAGGGATAAGAGATGGAAAATTTAGGAATAGAGGATCCCTGACCCTAATTTTCTATCTTTTGTTCGAATTGTTAGTATAATGTCATAAGTGCTTATATGTGATATTTTAATAGTGATGTTTGTTTGTTTGTTTGTTTGTCTGTCTAAAAGTGATGAAAGTAGAGTGTGATATTTCAATTTTTATGTCTGTTTAGTAATTAATTGTTCAATGAGAGTAAGCAATTTGTCATTTTCGAGCCAATAATATATTGATCAGTTTAGTTGTTTTTAACTTTGAGAGTGGACTTGCTTGGCACTATTGATTAAGATTGTGTTTGTGATGGATAATGCATTTTTTAATGAGAAAATTGTCCCATTACTTGAATTCGTCGGGGTGGTCTAGAACCTTGTGGGGCTTCGGGTTACCAATAATGGTAGATTTTTATTTATTATGGTCAAGACTTTTATAATCTTGTATTTATTTTTTTGTAGAAATTTTGTCCATCCTAAGTCTAGGCTTATAGCCTTTAGTAGAAAGATGTAAAATTTTGAACGTATTAGTATGCTAAGTTTCTACAATGTAATAATGATAGGTAGACTAGGATGACTTTATAGTTTGTTTGTAAATGTAAATTCTCCATTTTTATGCTTCCAACTTCTCTAACTTCTCCACCATAATTCCATACTCCATAACTCCATTATAATTCTATAATAAAAATAGTAAAAAGCTACTTTCCTTTTTTGTTGTTTTAAGTGGTATCAGAGTTTGGTGAAGAGCTTTTGAAAGTAAGATCAAATTATGTAAGTATTCCTTTCTATGTATAAATTTTGACATATATATAAGTGTGTATGGTGTGGTCTATGTTATAAAAAAAAAAAAAAAAAAAAATTCAAAGTTTTTGTATCCTTTGTATTTTATATCTTCATAATTATTTGCTTCATTTATAGTTGTTGTAAAACTTATATGCTTAGTGTATGTCAAAACCCATATACTCATTAAGATCTTTTGACTATTGGCTATAATCAAGTCTTTAAGATCATAAAGAGAGGTTTTAGGCACCGGATAAATACACTAGGAGGGTCTTAGATACCAATAACAATCTATAATGGCAATTAACCCTGAAGATATAATATGCTTTGGAAATACAAAAAATAATGTTAATAATAAATATGATCATAGTTTGCATATTACTAAAGAGTCTGCAAATATAAATAGTGTGTGTTCTAGTTTAAATAATATTACTGATATTATGTGCTCTTGGTTTTCTAAATTAGATAAAAATAAAAAAATAAATCAGAATTATCTAGAAACCAAAGTTGAGTCCATAGAATCTAAAATAGACAATTTGGGTTCTATAATAAATATTGACTTAAATAAAGATGCAAAAAACCAAATAAACAATTTGGTGACAAAAATAGAAACTATATCCTTCATAAACAATGATGGAATGAATAGTCCAGGAGATAGTTACATACCTAGGCTATTTTATGGTACAGAAGATATTATGGTACTTCAAACCAATACCTATAATAAGACTGAATATGAAAATATTGTTGAAATATTAGATCATTAGAGAAAATTATATAAAGAGTCAGATTTAGATATTAATGAAAGAAATAGGCTACTAGATCAGATAAGAGAAACTTATCTAGAACATAAAGTCCTTTTACAGCACTTTAATTATGATATTAATATGTCAACTAATGATGATGATAGTCAATCATCCTCATCTGAAGAAACATTAGATCAAGATATTTCACCAGAAATAAATAAAGGGAAAAGAAAGGTAGAAGAGCCAATTGATCCCGAATTATTTGGCACATGGGGAGATGGGGAAAATTTTGACTTTATTCAGACAAATGAAGTTAAAAATGATACTAATATTGGAAGTATCTTCAATCCTACACTTGAGCTAGTAGTATTTAGAAAAGATAATAATCATAAGTATCCAATAGCTCAAAATAGTATTTATTTAGATTTGTCTCATGTTTCATTTAAGGATCAAGAACAAACAATTGATGACTGGGCACAATCCTTGTCCATTATTATTACTAATTATAAAAATAGTTGGTCAAAAGAAAAATTCCTTGATTATATTGTAGCAACCCTCCAAGGAGATGTGTTACAATGGTTAAAACAGTAGGAAAAATCTGAAATTAGAAAAAGTCAAAAAATGGCTTTGTTAACAAATTTTCTCACATTTGACACAATTTTAACTGAATTTGCAAAAATCATAAAAGAAAATTTATGTTATTTTGCAGGAGATACTAATTTGCAAGCAGACGCAAATTATATTTTGACTAAATTATAATTATATAATATTTGTCTTTTTGAAGACTATGTTCAAATTTTTAAAAAATATTATTATCTTATTGATCCACCAGCAAATCAACCCTGGTTAGATCAATTTTTTCATAAACTCCCTAATCCATGGGATGAGTTATGTATTAAAACATATCCTGATTTTCTCAAAAAAATGGGGAAGGAAGAATATGATAATCTTGGTTTTCGCATTAATTATGTTCTAAGGCTGATAGCAGATCGGTGTCTAGAAGGTCTAGAGGCAAAGGCGAAAAAACAAATAAAAAATCAATTTTCTAATTCACCGTATGGTCAAAAATGTTGTGATAAAATTTTAAAAGAAAATTAAAAAATTGGTTGTAATACATTTCCTAAACGAAAAGGATTTTCTAAAAAACACAGAAAATATAAATGGAAACCTTAGAAAAATAACAAAACTTTTTCAAAAAAGAAAAAATATATTCGAAAAAAGAAACCAACAAGTGTTTCAAAAAAGAAAACTTGTAAATGTTACATTTGTAAAAGAAACCAACAAGTGTTTCAAAAAAGAAAACTTGTAAATGTTACATTTGTAACGAAGAATGTCACTATACACCCGAATGCCCAAAAAGGGAAAAACGTGCAAAGAAAATTATCAAAATTCTTGAAGAACAAGATTTTGAATATGGCGAAGAAATTTTTGATGAAGAAGAAATCTTATATGAAATTTCTAGTGATGAAGAACTAATCTTCATGATGACTGATAATAGTCAAGAAATATCTCAAGAAGCAGATAGTATATCTCAAGAAGAATTACAAGCAATTCGACTTGGAGATGTAATCGGAGAAGAAAAAACTTTTACCGATAAAGAATTAGCAAAATTTGAAAAAATGCAAGAAGTTGCTGTTCCAGAAATTTATAAACTTTTAAAATTCAACTTCTTTTCAGCAAGAGTGTTTAAACAATGCAGTGGTAACACTCAAGCGAAATGGTTAGAAGAAGGAAATATTGATATTCCTTTTTTTGATAAGAAAAATGTTGCAAGATGGAAAAAGAAATATCCTGAAATTCAATATATTCATATTGGATTAATTCAAGTAACCATAACAGCCTTATTTCGCCAAGAGAAAGATACTCTTATTTTGGCAGTAATTTTTGACAAAAGATATTCCGACCCAATGAAAGCAATCATTGGAGGAATTCAGTCTAATTTGACTAATGGAGTAGTTTGGTTTAATGTTAGATCAAATTTCTATATTTCCATAAATGATCCTAATCTTGAAGATACAGTCAGAATAAGAATTAAAACACAAGGATTAGGAATGAAATCAAATTCTCATGATTTGGCTATTCATTGAAAAACAATTCACGAATTAACCAAATTTCCTGAAATAAAAACAAGATCAAACGATAATAAAATCGTTGAAATCTTTGAACCAAGACCATTTGACACGGTAATATAATCTCGTCTAATGAATTGGAGCGATTTAGAAGTCCCTCGACAATGGTTAATCCAAGACCTAGTGGGACAAGGTATAGCGATTCCGGGTTTTCCCATTTGTTGTACAGTATTCCGGACTTAGGTTCCGCGGTATTGGTTGTTGTTTATATCTTGTTTCCGTCCTTCAATTCTTTTAATATGAGTTTTAGGATGTATTGGGCAGGTTTGTTACAGGTTGGTTGCGTTTGGGAACAAATGGTTGTTGCCCAGATTTTGGTGTCTTCGCTCGAGCGAGGATTTTGTCGCTCGAGCGAGCTCTGTGTTTTAGATCCTTCACTCGAGTTAGGGTTCCTTCGCTCGAGTGAGAGTTGAGTTTTGTGTCTGGTGGCTCGAGCGAGAAGTCTTGCGCTCGAGCTTGCGTTTGCGTCTGGTTATGGACCTGAGAGTTGTATTTCTTGGCTCGAACGAGCTTTCCTTCGCTCGAGCGAGTGAGCAAGCTGTATGTTTTGGACTTCTTTGCTCGAGCGGGCTTTTCTTCGCTCAAGCGTGCTCCTGGGTTGCAGACCTGAAGCTTCGAATTGTTGGCTCGAGCGAGGCTTTGTGTGCTCGAGCGAGGATTCTTTGTGTGTGGTCGCTCGAGCGACCACTCCTTCGCTCGAGCGAGCCTGGTTTATTTCAGTTCGCAGCAGCTTCTCCTTCTTCACTTTTTCTCCATCTCTTTTGATTCAAACCCTAGATCTGGCTCCCTCTCTCTCTACACACACCTTCTCTCTAGGGTTTCATCTATTTCTCTCTAGGGTTTCACCTCTCTCCAACTTGTGCCCTAACACAGACATCTATGCATTTTGGAATCCATTCCATCTATCTGAGAGGGCTAACAGGATTGTTGTTCAACAGATCTTGACTGGCTCCACCAACTACATATACCCTATGAACCTCAGCACCATCCTTGCCTTGGACTCCGCCACCTAAAATACCTAGTCTTTTTCTCGGGATTTTCTGCTCCAAATTTCTCAGTCCCCATGTCTCAAAATATTTGCATTGAATCATGTTTCAATATTCTCGCACCTTAGAATTCTCATATGACTCAATTGTTGAGAGTGTTAGGGGTAAGAGACGGAAAATTTAGGAATAGAGGATCCCTGACCCTAATTTTCTATCTTTTGTTTGAATTGTTAGTATAATGTCATAAGTACTTATATGTGATATTTTAAATAGTGATGTTTGTTTGTTTGTTTGTTGGTCTAAAAGTGATGAAAGTAGAGTGTGATATTTCAATTTTTATGTCTATTTAGTAATTAATTGTTCAATGAGAGTAAGCAATTTGTCATTTTCGAGCCAATAATATATTGATCAGTTTAGTTGTTTTCGACGTTGTGAGTGGACTTGTTTGGCACTATTGATTAAGAATGTGTTTGTGATGGATGATGCATTTTTTAATGAGAAAATTGTCCCATTACCATTCAAGATCAGTATGCATCTCTTTTATTTATTGATGATATCAGTATAATGTCATAAGTACTTATA